ACTGAGTTATTCAGATGTGATAGTACTGTCTCACTAATGAAGAGATGATGATAGAGAAATCTGAAGAGTTTTATCAGAAGAATCTAGAGAAAAGAATTGAGTTAATATACTGTATAGCAGGTGATTGAGACTTAAAAACAGGTGAAGAAGTCATCACTCTCACTGCAAGATTAGCAGCAGTATTCATTATTAAAGATGAATGTATATGATGTCTCTTTACAGATTTTAAGAATGTCTTTTCAGAAAGAGAAACAGTGAAGTTTTCTGATATTAAGATATGACATAAGATTTATCTTGAAGACAGTGTAACAGTGCTGTATGAGCTTCTTTACAACTTATCTGTAAAGAAGTTGAATGTTCTGTGTAAATATCTTGAAGAAGCACAATCAAAGAACTGAATATATTCATCAAAGAGTTCAGCAGAGATGTCTATACTCTTTGTACTTAAGAAGAATGATAGGCTACATCTATGTGTAGACTACAGAGGCCTCAATAAGATGATAATTAAGAATCACTATTCATTACTGTTAATTGATGAGATAATCAATTGATTGTCTGAAGCAAAGATGTTCTTAAAGATTGATATATAAGATATCTATTATAGAATCAGAGTTAATGAAGATGATATTTGAAAAACAGCTTTTTGTATCAAATACAGCAATTTTAAATATCTTGTTTTATCTTTTAATCTTTGTAACACTTCAGCCATCTTTCAGATCTATATAAATGAGATGCTGTGAGGTCTTGTCAACATCTTCTGTATAGTATATCTGAACAACATTTTAATCTTCTTAAAATCAGAGAAAGAACATGATACTCATGTTCAAGAAGTGTTGAGTTGCTTGAGACAGTATTAACTCTATATAAACACTGAAAAATGCTTGTTCTACATACAGGAGATTGATTTCTTAGATTATATTATTAAAGTGAATGGCATTTCAATGAACAGAAGCTGAGTCTCTGTCATTGAGAACTGGCCAGTGCTGCAGATGTATCATGAGATATAGATATTTCTAGAATTTGTGAATTTCTACAGATAATTCATCTATATATATTCATGAATTACTGTCTCTCTTACAGATCTGTTAAAGAGAAGTGTGAAAGACAGGAAAATGAAACTGTTTACTCTCACTCAAGACATCATACAGATGTTTGCAGAATTGAAACAAGCTTTTACAGATATTATGATACTGAATCACTTTAAGTCTGACTTACTCAGTTAGTGTGAGACTGATGCATCTGAGAATGAGATCTGTGAAATCTTTTCACAGTTGACACTGAAGACCTTTCAATATTGAAAGAATCAGAGAATAATCATCTTTATTATTATTATTATTATTATTCTTCCATTATACTCATATGCAAGCGGAGCTTATGATGAGTCCTTGCGTGATGTTAAATACAGGCCAAGTGTTGATTATACAGGAGGAAATACAGGTGTTGAGACCACGCCAAGATAACAAGAACATAGAAAATACAAAGGAGTGACAATTAGATACATGCGATAATAACTTCCCAGCCCAGGAACATAGAGCAATTTTATTGAAGCGATTTGTACACCTCTGTATTTATTAGGAACCTGAGGTGCTTGAGTTCCGGATTTAATGTATCCCCTGCGGGTTTCGAACCCACACACCTTGGTTTCCCACGCCAAGGCGCTACCAGGTGGCCGCATTAACCATTCGGCCACCGGGGCGAGAATAATCATCTCTGAGAAAACAGATAATGAATTATCTGTGAGAGAAGACTTTTTCACAGAGTCTATAAGATATTATGAATGAAGATCAGTGACCTTCTTCTTCAAGAAGTTATCACTCATGCAGAGAAGATATGATACTCATAATCAGAAGATATTAGCAATTATTGAATTCTTTAAGATCTGGCAATATTATCTCTAGAGTAGTAAGTACTCAGTGCAAGTTCTCACTGATTATGCAAATCTGTGTTACTTCTTGATACTAAAGAGCTTGACAGAACATTAAGTCAGATGAGCAGAGCTGCTTTTGAAGTATGATTTCTATATCTGATACTGTTCAGGTTGACTTAACTCTGTCAATACACTGTCTAGACAGCTCAATTATAATATTATTAATGTGAAGAAGAATTCTATAAAAGAATCTCTATCATCACTGCAGAAGAAGCTGGCTGCAGAGAGTTAAGATTCTCTAAAGCTCAGAAACAGCACTGAAGAGGCAGCTGTGTAACTCAGTATAGAAGGTGAAAGAGAATCTGAATTCTCATGAGAGACTGACACTGAAGATTATGAGCTTCTTGTATCATATCTTACAATCATTGAATTAATAAAGAATAAAACAGTCTACAATCTTTCAATCTGACTACTTTTAAAATTCATTGATAAGTTATAGAAGAAGAATGTCTCTACTACAGCTTGAATTCAGAAGTTGAAGAAGAAAGAATTCAGTTTGAACTTAAAAGAGACAGACTCTGAGTGAGATAGTGCTGCTAAGAAATCAAGTCACTGATAACTAGAAGAATGTGAACTTCTACTACTGAATGATTCAGTCTTCATTTCTTGTAGCAGAGCAGTGTATCAGAAGTTATTGAGAATTCATCATAATAATTCTCATACAGAGCACTTCAGATTAGAGAAGACTGAGAAGCTTCTAAAATATAAATACACTTAAGATAAGCTTCAGACAGATATTAAAGAGTATATTAAGACTTATAATGTCTATCAAAGAATAAAGATCTCATGATATAAGTAATACAGTGAGTTGACATCACTGCCTGTTTCAAAGAGCTCATGATAGAATCTATCAATGAATTTCATAGTTGATCTGCTGAAGTTGACAAGAGTCAAAGAATATGACTCAATTTTAATCATTATTAACTGCTTTATGAAGATGATCAGATATATTCCTACTTATAAAAAGATTAAAGCCTCTGAATTGACTGACCTGTTTTTAGATATCATTATTTATGATCACAGTGCTCTGAAATTATTAATAACAGATTGAGAATTCCTCTTCATCAGCAAGTACTGATTGGCTTTTTACTATCATCTTATGATAAGATGTCTTCTCAGTACTGCTTTTCATCTGCAGACTGATGATTAGACTGAATGCCAGAATCAGACACTAGAATAGCATCTTCAAGTGTTCTGTTTATATTATCAGAATGATTGACTTAAACATCTTCTGATCACTGAATTCACATATAACAATGCAAAGAATGCAATCTTAAAGATATCTTCTTTCTATGCTTATTATGAATATAATTCTTTGTTACTCAGTAACATCATGAATGATGTTTCAAAGAAAGAAATAGACAGTCAGAATGTCAGACAGATACAGAGAATGAAGTATCTTTTAGTGTCAGAAGTAAAAGTGAGATTGAAACTTTTGAATAAAATTCATAAGAAGATGATAAAAAGCATTCACTGCACTTAGAAGTAGTAGATGAAATACTACAATTGAAAACATCTTCTGATGAAGTTCTTAATAGAGAATCAAATACTACTTTCAGCAAAGAATATTAAGACAATGAGACTATATAAGAAGCTCAGTGAGTAGTGGCTAGAATCTTTCTCAATAATAAGAGTGATGAGTAAGCAGACATATAAGTTGAAATTACTTATAGAATTGAAATCAATTCATTCTGTTTTTCACATTTTCTATTTAGAGCTCTATAAGTAATACTCTGAAACAGAGCTGTCTCAGCTGAATAATATTGAGATTGAGAGTGATACTGAATATCTTATGAAGAAAATATTAAATAAGTGAATATATTACAGTAAGCTTCAATATCTTGTTAAATGAGAAGATTATTCATTATCAGAGAATTTGTGAGAACTGCTTGAGTATTTGAAAAATGCTGAGAAAGAGATTGCAATCTATGAGATAACTAGTAGAGACTGTCTCATTACATATCAGAGACATTAAACAAGAAATACTGCTTAAGACTTCTTATTTTTCTTAAAGAATTTTTTAGAGATAATCTCACAGTGATGAGTCAGTGTCTTATAGACTCTGTAGCACTCTTCTTCTATTTTCTCTCAAAGAATTTTTAGAAGTTTAATAAGACTACACAAGTGTAACATTTCTGAAGTGATTAAAAGAAAAGAGATATTTGAAATTAATAAAAAGATTAATATTATTGACTCACAGACTGCTGCTATTCTAATGAGACTGCAGCTCACTGAAAAAGTAAAAAGAGAGATCAGAGTCTACTCATCAATAATCACACTCTCATCAAACTTATTTTTCACTGTTAAAGTCTTCAGTATCAGTATCTTTATCTGCTGAGAAGTTAGTACTGTGACACTGCAGAGAAGCATGCTGTAGAAGAGTATGAGAAATGCATGAAATATTAACTTATTAACTTATAAAGCATCTCAGTCATCTGCTTTAATTGAAGTGAGATTCTCTTCAATCAGCAATTGATTTTCACAGTACTTTCAGTAGTGATATCAGCTGATTTCTTCTTAAAGTCAGTCATTCTGAGGTGTTTTTTTATCTTGAAGATTCACACTTTCATCTTCTTTTGCAGATGAGCAAGAGAGATCTTCTCAGCCTTGATGAAATTCATCAATACTTAAAGCTCTGAGACTCTCACTCTGTACTGCTTGAGCATCTAGACTTCTTATCAGAACTGATACAATGTCTTTCTGTGAAGTAATACTTACAGAGAGACAGGAGTTGTTGTTACAGATGCAATGAAAATAATAGAAGTGAGAGAAGAGATAGATATATAAAATCCCTCTCTTCTTCAGCTGTTTAACACAGTGTAGATAAGTAGTGATGCTGATCAGAGATTATATCAGAGCCTTCTCATAGAGAGAAGATAAAGAAACTGTGAGACTCTGCAGACTCAACTCAGCAGCATTCTGAGCAGGGCTCAGACATGCTGCAGAAGAGAAACTATGAATTAAGCTTCTCAGAGTCACTGTCTCTGAAATCAAGCTCTTTCTGAGTTTCTCTCTGAATGATCACACAGGGTCATACATCACTGTATTGACCAGGAGAGGGGGCGGCGTTGCAATGGCAGTGAGAGAGACAGAGAATGAACTAAACACAGATGAACTGACTGACAGAAGAGATGACACCTCACTGCAAGGCACAGTGACTACTGTCACAGCTGTAAAAGAAGCAGGAGAAGAAGAAGATGTGATAATGAAAGCAATGCTTCTACAGCTCATTGACACTGCTGTCTCTGCCTTCAATCTGGCTTTCTTGACAGTTATGAAGGCCGCCGCCACATCATGAAGACATTTATTCACTAGAAAAACATCAGAATAAGCCCTCTACTGTTCTTCAAGAATGATACTCTCATGCACTCACTATTACAGATGAGAGAAAGAGAGAAGAAAAAAGTATCATGAGAGAGAGAGATCTTTTTGAAAAAATCCTGTCACTACTGTTAGCTTTGTCTCTAAAACACATCACTTTTGCAGCAAATTTCATACATAGAACAGAATATATTAAGAGATCTGTAAGTCACTTATTAACTATGTTTTTTCACATTTCAAATTGATATATAAGAAACTCACTTATCACATGTTTGATTTGAATGAAGATGAGAAAAGAAAGATCTACACAGTCAGTAGAAAAACTCATCTTTGTGTCACACACAGCACACATGCTGTCAATTGATTGGCAACTGTTGTTATACAACAAAGATAATTTCTAATTCAGTAATCTTGAGAGCATAGAGACTATGTTCTTAAAGAGAAGAGCATTGTCACACTCCTGACTGTGCTAAGACTCTATTGCAGTTTCACACGGCTCATCACTTTCATGTGAATGATTTCATTCATTCTGCAGACTGTCTGAACTGGTTTTCAATCACTCTATGACATTATATAAATGTATCATAGAAAGATCTGATTGATGAATATGAGAATCTCACTTCTATATGAGGTCAGCAGATTACTCTTTCTTGACAATGAGATGCTGCTGAGGTATTGCTCTGGCTATTCTTGCTCATGAAATGAGAGAAGAGTATTCACTCATTGTCTATATAGAATAGCTAGATACTGACTTCTCATTAAAGAAGTCAGTGATTTGTTTTACTGCTACTGAAATATATACAAGAGTTACTGTATATCTTATACAATCTTCTTAGTATACTAAGTATCATATCTGTGATATCCTTGCAATAACCCTGTAGTCTATGAGCTCACTATTCAAGCAAGATAGTCAAGCTCACTCATACAGCTTTTCAAACAACTATCTCTACATGTCACCGCCGACTAGCCACCGCTTCGGTTCCGCCACGTTACACACTGCTGCAGTCTCTACACATCTATATCTATTATAGAGATAGAGAGATTAAGATCAGAGATTCTCTAAGATATAAGAGAAATATTTTATCTGAATTTCACAGCTTTATCTGTATTCTTGAATGAAAATTCTGCCTTAATCTAAGCTAGTATAATACTTATAAGATATAAGTAATATACACTGTTAACTTTCTTAAAGACATCTCTGCAACTACTTGAGCTATTAAGAAGAGAGAGCTTGAGTGTATTAATACTATTATAACTTAAGAAGAATTCAAGAACTTTCTACTGAATTAAATTAAAGATCACTGTAATTATAACTTCACAGTAATACAGTAGTTTAACTTATTATATTAATGAAATAATGAGAATTCTTTTAATTTTAATACAAGATTTGAAGAATATTAAAAGAAATTAACTGATAATTTGAATTAATTAAAAACACAGCTTTATCTTATAAAGCTGACTCATAAGATGTGAATAATAATATCATAATATCAGAGTTTATTAATTAATTGTACTGAGCTTATCAATCTGACTTTCTGAATCTATTTGAATAATCAATTCTCTGAGAAAAAGATCAATAAGATCTCTTCTAAGTAATTAACAACAGAATTTAAATAATATCATGATAGCTTTAATGTGAAGAAAGTAAAGAAGAATTTCAAGTATTCTGATTCTTCACTCACTGTGAAGAAATATTAAAAAAGATTTGATAAAGATCTCTGTTTTAACTGCAGAGCTGATAATTACTATGTCAGTGATTATAAGAAGCTGAAGAAGAAAAGAAACTGAGAAGATATCTTCTTAAAGTTAACTTCTCTTCTGACAAATGTATCTGTGAAAGATAAAGAAGAGAAAGAGAAGAATTGATAATTCTCATATCTCTGAGTTCATATTATAATCACAATGCATACTGTCACGCTCCCGGCCGCGTCAAGACCCTGTTGTGGTTTCACACGGCTCATCACTTTCATGCAGATGATTTCATTCTGTCTGAACCAGTTTTCAACTGCTCTATGACATCATTTGAATATATCATAGAAAGATCTGATTGATGAATATGAGAACCTCACTTTTATATAAGGTCAGCAGATTACTCTTTCTTGACAATGAGATACTGCTAAGGTATCACTTCAGCTATTCTTACTTGTGAAATGAGAGAAGAGTATCTGCTCATTATCTATATAGAATAACTAGATACTGACTTCTCATCAAAGAAGTCAGTAATTTATTTTACTTCTATAGAAATATACACAAGAGTTACTGCATATCTTATACAATCTTCTTAGTATACTAAGTATCATATCTGTGATATTCTCACAATAACTCTGTATACAGTCTATGAGCTTGCTATTTAAGTAAGATAGTCAAGCTCACTTATATAACTTCTTAAAATAACTATCTCTACATATCATTACTGACTAGTCACTGCTTCAGTTCTGTATATTACAATTCAAATCACTCAATCTGATTATACATTTGAATCAGTTGAGCTCTAACAGATTAATATGACCTCATACACCTGTGCTGAGACTGACTCAATCTCATTCTCTGAAGAAAACACTACATCATTCTCTAGAGTGTATACATTTCTATCTCAGCAGAAATCTGAGATTTCTGAACCTGCTATATATTTTAACATGAGCTCTTCAACTGCTCTGTCATCACTGCAGCCTCTACACACCTACATCTATCATGAAGATAGAGAGATTAAGATCAGAGATTCTTCAAGATATAAGAAAAACATCTTATCTGAATTTCACAGCTTTATCTGTATTCTTGAACAGAAATTCTGCCTTAATCTGAGTCAGTATAATACTCATGAGATATGAGTAATATACACTGTCAACCTTCTTGAAGGCATCTCTGCAACTACTTGAGTTATCAAGAAGAGAGAGCTTGAGTGTATCAATGCTGCTGTGACTTAAGAAGAATTCAAGAACTTTCTACTGAATTAAATTGAAGATCACTGTAACTGCAGCTTCACAGCAGCACAGTGATTCAACTTATTATATTAATAAGATGATGAGAATTCTTTCAATTTCAATGCAAGATTTAAAGAATATTGAGAGAAATTAACTGATGATTTAAATCAATTAAAAACACAGCTTTATCTTATGAAGCTGACTTACAAGATGTGAACAATAATATCATAATATCAGAGTTCATTAATTAATCACACTGAGCTTGTTAATCTGGCTTTCTGAATCTATTTAAATAATCAATTCTCTGAGAAAAAGATCAACAAGATCTCTTCTAAGCAATCAATGACAGGATTTAAATAATGTCATGACAGCTTCAGTGTGAAGAAAGTAAAGAAGAATTTCAAGTGTTCTGATTCTTCACTCACTGTGAAGAAATGTTAAAAAAGATTTGATAAAGATCTCTATTTTAACTGTAAAGCTGATAATCACTATGTCAGTGATTGTAAGAAGCTGAAGAAGAGAAGAAACTGAGAAGATATCTTCTCAAAGTTAACTTCTTTTCTGACAAATGTATTCATGAAAGATAAAGAAGAGAAAGATAAGAATTGATAATTCTCATATCTTTAAGTTCATATTACAATCACAATTAGACTGACCGTGTGACCGTGTCTGGAACCAGGACCAGATTTTTTGATAGTCTCATTACCAATTCGACTGATCCCATTACACGGTTTTAACATTAGATAGTAGTTCCATACTGTCCCAGTGGGACTTACTGTCTACTCTTGTCACATTTTCCAAATGGGACCATGATTTCCACTTCTCAATTTAAATTATTTTTATTGCTTTAAATGACTTTAAATCTCATTTGAGTGTTACCAAAAAGTGTTACTTTTTAAAAAATTAAAAATAGTCTAAAAAAAACCTTAAAATGTCTAAAAATAGTAACTTTATGCCAAGAATGGGACTAAATGGGACCAAATGGGATCACTTTCTCATTTTTTTCAAGTCATGGTTCCATTTTAAGATCTGATATATAGTCACTTTACCTGTTTTTTTGATAGCCAGTCCCAGCGGGATTCACGCCAAGAAATGTATGAGATCAGACCAAATGGGACCAAACGTGAAATTCATGGTCCCGGCGGCCAGTCTAATCACAATGCATACTCTGAATGAGAAGATATCAGTAAAATGCCTACTCAACTCTGAGATGAATGTCAACTTCATATTCTATTTCTTTTCTTTGATGAAGGGTTGAAAGAAGATAGATTCATCAGATTATGCAAAATTTACAGATGAAATGAAATGTCACTGTTTTGACATAATTTAAGCAAAGTGTGTGATCACAGACTCAGAAGAAATCTTCAAGAAGAGCAGTCTGCTTCTTCACACAGTTAACATCATAGATGAGAATGTCATTCTAGATCTTCTGTGATTAAGAGAAAACAATTCTCTCATTGACTGAGTCACTCAGATATAACAGTATCACCTCACTGATAAAGAGATGATGATAGAGAAATCTGAAGAGTTTCATTGAAAGAATCTTGAGAAAAAGATTGAGTCAATATACTGTGTAGCAGGTGATTAGAACTTGAAGACAGATGAAGAAGTCATCACTCTCACTGCAAGATTAGCAGCAGTATCTGTCATTGAAGGTGAACATACACAATGTCTCTTTACAGATTTTAAGAATGTCTTTTTGAAAAGAAAAGCAGCAAAGTTTCCTGATATCAAGATGTGATATAAGATTTGTCTTGAAGATGATATAACAGCACTGTATGAGTCTCTTTATAACTTGTCTATAAAGGAGTTGAATGTTCTGCATAAATATCTTGAAGAAGTGCAATCAAAGAACTGAATATGTTTATCAAAGAGTCTGACAGAGACATCTATACTCTTTGTGCTCAAGAAGAATGATAGACTATATCTATGCATAGACTACAGAGGCCTCAATAAGATGATGATTAAGAATTGCTATTTACTACTATTGATTGATGAGATGATTGATTGATTATCTGAAGTGAAGATGTTCTCAAAGATTGATATACAGAATGTC